CCAACTAATCCAAATGTCAATCATTTTCAATCAACTCGACAGTCAAATATACAATATTCTCAGCCAAGAATGAGCCAACCTTCTACATCTAACTTTCAACCAGATATAACTCAGACAGTTGACTACCGATCTCAATTTCCCAGAGGTCCTGTACAACTTCCAAGACACCCAAATCCACCCCAAACCAAATATTTTACAAATTCTCAAGTTTTCGGTAAACCAGAAAATGTTTGGAAGCCCAATCCAAATAATAATCAGACTAAACCTACTCCTATGAGTATTTCTACACGAAATACAGCACCACACTTCCGACAAAATTATAATCATTTTAAAAGCACAGGCCAAAATCCAAATTTCTATCATGAAGAGTTATTTAACACAGAAGTTATACCTGAGGAAGAAGATAATCAAAATTTTTATAATTCAGATGAAATTTCTGACAACTATCAATATGTAAATGATGACGATTCTCAAAATTTTCACGAAACCGACTTGACCAACGAAACCCCTTGATAGAACTTAACATTTCGTCTGATAAAAAAGAATTACCCTATCTCAAAATTTCTAATCCACCCATTATTTTATTGATTGATACTGGGGCGACTAAGTCCTTTTTGAAGCCTGAAATTGCCCAAAAATTCTATAAAAATAAAATATTTAGGGAACCTTTCACTGTATCGGCAGCATTTCAAACATCAACTCAACAAAATTGTGCAATGATCCCCATATTTAATGAATTTAATAAATCTGGTGATTTTAAATTCCACCTTTTCGCTTTCCATGATATCTTTGATGGCCTTTTAGGCATAGATACCTTAAAAATGTTACAAGCCCATTTAGATTTTGCAAATTCTAAATTTATTACACCCGAGACAACTTTGTCAATACATTATTTCGAAAGTAATCCACCTATTTTTAAAAGGAAAATCGATCCCCATAGTAGTATTGTAACTAATATTCCCGTTAGTCAAAAATCCGACGATATCTTAATTGCCAGACAATTTATAAAAAATTGCGAAATCCAGAAGGAGATAAAGAAGATGACGACAACAATACCGTACATACAAGTGCAGAAGATCCTGTTCTAGGAATGAAATTTCGGAAAAAAGCATAAATTCTTTTGACCATCAAATTATTATTGACTTTGTTTTACATTCATCAGTTAAACCAAAGACCGAACAGATATTTCCCAACAAAAAACGTCTTTATATACAAATTTCTACTAATGACCTAGAGAATAACACCATAAACGTCTTTAAGAACTATATTCATCCAAAATATACATACGGTGTGTATTTCAAAAACCAGGACCAGAATTACATTTCCCAAATTCTCGAAGTATTACGAAAAGTATTCAAAAATTCTGCTTACAAATTAATTCAGTGTAATAAAATTCTAAGAGACGTTACTGACAAAGATGAACAACACCGAACTATAAGACAATATCATGAGGGAAAAACAAACCATCGTGGCATACTTGAAACAGAAACCCATCTTAAACAACTCTACTATTGGCCCACCATGAAAACCGACATAACGAACTTCATAAATAAGTGTGAGATTTGTCAAGCTAATAAATATGACCGAAACCCTCCACGCCAGAAATTATCTGTTACACCAACACCGTCAAAACCAATGGAAATTATATTTTGTGACACTCTATCTGCACAAGGACATAAATTTTTGACAATTATTGACACTTTTTCAAAATACGGACAAGCCTACCCACTAACAGCACTAACAGGTATCGAAATAACAAGAGCATTTCTAATATTTATGTCTCATCACGGTGTTCCCTCTTTAGTTGTAATGGACAGAGGAACTGAACTAAAAAATTCGGTTGTTCAGGAATTTTTCGATGTTCACAAAGTCAAAACACATTACGTCACCGCAAATAGTACCCAGTCGAAAGGTGCTATAGAAAGATTTCATTCCACCATTATTGAACATCTGAGAATTATAAGAGCAAAAAATAATAATAAAATAGATATTCTAAACGATATGGTATATGCAGTATTGGGATACAATAATTCGATCCATTCTGTTACGAAACAAAAACCAATTGACATACTAAATGGACATTTAAATTTAAAAGAAATATTTGATATAAATTTGGACCAAATTTTAATTAATAATTATATCCAAAATCACAGAGAAACTACTGCAAAAATTTACAGATCTTTAAATGAAAAGCTAATATCTCAAAAAGAATCTACAATAGAACGTCACAACAAAGACCGACATGAACCATTAGAATATTTACCCGACACTGATGTATACAAGAAAAACACGACCTTAACCAGAAACAAACTTAATCCAAAATTCTATAAAGAAAAAGCTATCGCGGACGAACACATAAAAGTAAAGGTACATAGCAATAAATTATTACACAAACAAAACCTTAAAAGACCAAAAACTAACCGATCAACCTTGTTACAGGACGCTACTAATCCTATCGACCCTGGCCCTTCCTCTAGTAAGGACACAGGAAGTTCAAATAACTAACCTCCAAAATAATCCCGGAATCCTTCCGTATAAGTTAGGAACAGCAAAGGTAAAATCCCAAATACATACATTTCTTCATTACTACGATCTTTCCCCTATAGGTAACGAAATAGAATCTATAAGATATGCATATGACAATGTAACACTTGCAATTCAAGATGGCCTTAGTCATCCTTATTTTCAAGAACTTCATAACGTTGACCATGCTCTACTTTTCCAACTTAAATCCGCTGAACAAAAATTTAATTCTTTATTGCCACCTTTTAGATCAAAAAGAGGTCTTATAGACGGTTTAGGATCTATAATTAAAAGTATCTCTGGTAATCTTGATTCCAGTGACGCCTTGCTTTATGACCAAGCCATCTCTGATCTCCAAAATAATAATCAAATATTAGTTAAAAAAGTAAATCAACAAATTTCTCTGACCAAGGATATAATAGCAAATTTTAATGAAACACTAACTCTTATAAAGAACAATCAAGAAACCATTTTTATGGGTATAGATAAGATACGCACATCTTTAAATAAATTTATATTTGATTTCAATGACTATTTGCAGACTAGAAATATATTAGATCAGTTAAACTTAAGCTTAAACATTGTTTTACAACTTTTAGATGAAATAGAAAATGCCGTTACTTTTGCTCGACTTGGAATTTTACATAATAGCATTATTGATAAAAATGAGTTAAATTCTATCATAGAGATTATTTTAAAATACCATACAAAAAATGAAGTACTTTTTCAAAATTTTAATGATACTTATAAATATTATGATATTTTAAAAACAGAAGCCTACTACTCTGAGACAAAAATTGTTTTCGCTGTTCACTTTCCTATTGTTTACCCAGAAATATTCTCCTATTATCATCTTTATTCAATTCCTACATCAAATCACAGTACCATTGTACCTCGAAATACCTTTCTGACTATGAATGAAAATTATTACCAATATCACTCACGGCCCTGTCTGGACCTGAAGCCCAATTTCTATTGTACTGATGGCGATTTCTCTGCTGGGGTAGAGAAAGAAGATTGTGTCTTTCAATTATTGCAACTGAAGACCAGTTCCACAACTTGCCGCAGAACTCCCGTCCGAATATCTGAGAATGTAATACAACAAATTGATGATTCACATTACATTGCCATCTTCGTAAACCAAACTAAAATCGAGACGATATGTCAGAAAACCGATTTTACCACATTAAAAGGAAATTTTCTAGTTTCCATTCCTTACCAGTGCCAGTTCAAAGTAGATAAGAAAACGTTTATTAATAAGAAGACAGTTGTCCAAGGCCAACCACTTCTCTTACCTGAGTTAAGAGTTTCCAATGCTCAAGAAGAAGAAGAAGTCCCAGAAATTGTTCTAAAGGATATCCCTCTCGACAAAATTCACACAATCCAAAGAAATCAAAATCAAATTCAACCTGTGGTACTCCAGCATCTAAAGAAACGTTCCACAAACCATTGGACTATCATAATATATATATTAATAATAATTACTTTCATCTTCATAGCCATTCATTATATTAAGAAGTTAAGAACAAAAGAAAATCCACATCCAACGTACAATGAACCACATATGGAAGAAGATGACCCCACAGTTCCTGTACCAAATCCAAGGGCATTTTTCACTCCATGAAATATGCCAAGAACTCGCAAGGGAGGAGTTATGGAAGCCGGCCCTGTTCCAGTCATTCGCCTAAGAATGATGATCTAGGATTTGTGTTTTAATGAACTTTGCAATCAGATTAGTTTACATTTTTATATTTACTTAGCTATCATTTTTACCATTGCGTTTTTAATTAGATATACTTCAGTCTGTATTTAAACTTGAAAGAAAGAACATTATAATTTTATATAAAAATTGTCCGATCTTTTTTCGTATTTTGTCATAAATTAATAAAGTATTTATTTTTTTAAAATAGTTTTGCCTAAGGGAAAACTATAAGTCGCGTTACTTTATGAACACACACAACTATTGTATTTTTGTCCACCCTGTACCAAGTTGAATTAACATGTGATACGTTTTTGGAATCAGCTCAGCTAGAGTAATCCGAAAATTGAGACGAATTGGGGGTGTTCCATTAAAAAAAAAGACGGTGACGTCATTACTCAAAAGTAATTCACCCCGTATATTAGAATATTGTTTTAAAATACGGTAAATTAAAATCAAAAATCGACGTGTTTCAGGATTATTTCTTAAAATACTCTGTTTAGCCAAAAAAAGAATTTGTTCCATACTTTACGGACACAGTGTATAGTATGTCTGTTTATTGTTGATACCGTTTATGCAAATTCTGGTTGTGTCTATAGATTTTGTGTGTATAATATAATTTTTACTGCACAGTGAGGTTTTAGGAGTCCTGTATGATAAACATTTCAGACTGCATCCAGTTGGCTTATTGTATATTTCTTGTTGTATGTTTTGGATTGCTAGCATTACACAATTGCACGTATTCTAAAAAAAGGGAACGCTATAACAATTAACTTACCTTTCAATAATGATTTTCTTTAAACGATCTTGGTTTCGATATGTGTTCACTAAATCTTTTAAGCAATCTCCAACAGCTGCAACGTTTTCGCTAAAAATGTAGATACATTGAGTAAATAAATTAATTAATATAATAATTTTAAAATTATTTGTAACCTATTTATGAGCAATTTTTTGTCTATGAGCAAAATCATTTTTTTCTAGAAAAATTCGCAATTATATACTTTAACTATTTTTTTACTTCCAAATAAGATTTTGTAACGGTATAACCGTCAGATGTTTGTCATCTTTTTTTAAGAGGTTGACTACGTTTATAAAATATGTAAACTAGGAAACTGTGCATTACCGGTCCTACAAGACCGGTAGGTTTGCGCGATTACGATGTATTACCGACCGCCAGGGACCGGTAATTACATAATTAGTTTTTATATTTTTAAAATTCTATAATATAACTTATATGGGGGTATAGAGTTGTGTTATAGAGGTAGCAATCAGAACGACCACATCGAGCGCCATAGACGGGAGATGGTTCCCATAAGAACTCTCACTTATGACTCCACGTGCCACACCCCGGGCAACTGCATTGGTCTGCAGACTAAACTAAGTGAGGGTAGCCATATAGGGCGAAAATTCCACCGAGCGATTGCCGGTATAAGCAATGCCCCACTTACTGACCAACGGCTTCGGGCGGATAAGTTGGTAGGTGGTAGGGCACTCTTTTATCCTAAGATTAAGAAATTGATTTCACTAGTATTTCACAATATAAGAATAGCGATTCTTTGGAAGTTACTGATCATGGTTATCGGAAATCAAGATCTGACAGGAGGGGAGATTTAATAAGTTGCAGGGCTCCTCCGGTTGTCAAGCAAAACCCCTGCAAAATGCATAATATATCGGTCCGTATCGCCACATGGAATGTGAGAACGCTATTTGAAGCTGGAAAACTACACAATGCTAGTCAAGAGATGTATCGGTTACAGATCAGTATTTTAGGACTTAGTGAAGTCAGATGGACAAATGCAGGTCAATGCATCACCCCAAACGGTACCATATATTTTTTAGGACGAAATGACAATTATCATAGTAATGGAGTGGCAATAATGATCACCAAGGAAATAACTAAGTCGATTATAAACTTTGTACTAGTGTCAAATAGAGTTGTTTCTACAACTGTCATTCGTTCAGGGAAAACTAAATATAGGTCAAATATATGCTCCTACAGCGGAGAGTAGCAAAGAAGACACAGAAGAATTTTATAAAACCATTTAAAAAACAACTGAAAGTCTAGAGACATTACAATAATAATGGGAGATTGAAATGCGAAAATTTAGAAAGAAGAATGTGACAAATGGGTTGTAAAATATGGTCTCTGCCAAATAAATGAAAGAGGAGATCGGCTTTGGCAATTTTGATAGGAAAATAATTTTATAATTAAAAATAGATTTTATCAACTACCAAGAAGACAAGTATACACGTGGAAATCTCCTGGAGACACTAAACACCATATTATACGAAATCAAATAGATTAAATAACCATAAACAACAAATATAAAAACACAATCGAATCTGGTGAAAACGTATTCAGGAGCACATATAGGGTCAGACCACAATCCGGTAGTGGCACAATTCCGAATAAAACTTAACAGAGTACAAACACCTAAGCCCTAACATATTATATATATTATATATATATATATATATATATATATATAATTATATATTATATAATATATAATATATATATATATATATATATATATATATATTATATCAATCGTTTAAATGATGAAACAGTTAAACATCAGGTAGAAACAATCATTCAGGCAAATCTTGAAAAACTTGAAAAGACAGAGAGGATACCAGAACTAGACATTAATAAACACTGGGCCATTATTAAAAAGAACGTGCTGGAGCCCGCTAAAAATATTCTGAAGAGAGAAAACCAAAGAAACAGAAAGAACGGATGAGTGACGAAATTTTGTTATTGATGAATTCTCGAAGACTATCGAATGGTAAAAATCAAGAACAGTATAAGCAAACTAATACAGAGATCAAAAGAAAAATCGGCGACGCTAAAAAAACAATGGTTACAAGACAAATGTAAGGAGATTAAAAACTTGGAAGCCAAATTTGATTCGTTCAAATTCGTTCTTATATCAAAGGCAGCCTCCTTGTGATAATTTTCCAGAGGAGACAGGTCTAGAAATAAGCAAATAAGAAGTAATGCAAGCAGTGAAGTCATCAAAGAATAGCAAAGCTCCAGGACCAGTCGAGCTACCAGCGGATATACTAAATCATTATAAGGTTGAATGTTAGAATAATTAAACTTTGACGGTATACAAGGCAACTATCGAACACAGTGATTAATTTAATCTTGCCCAAGTACTTTCGATCAATAGATCATCCTCAGGGGCATTTCGTCAGTTGTGGCCTATCCGACATGAGTAGAATGTCATAAATGTAAATTTGGACATAACAATACAAAATACAATACACAAAGACAAACAAACACTTTAAAATTTTTTTTGAAAAGGAGAAACTACATGTTGTATAGAAGCCGGAGACAGAATCTCCAGAATTCCTTAAAAAAAAAAATTAAAGTGTTTGTTTGTCTTTGTGTATTGTATTTTGTATTTGTTATGTCCCAAATTTACATTTATGACATTCTACTCATGTCGGATAAGCCACAACTGATGAAATGCCCTGAAGATGATCTATTGATCGAAAGTACTTGGGCAAGATTAAATTAATCACCGTGTTCGATAGTTGCCTTGTATACCGTCAAAGGATATACTAAAGTTGATAGACGAAGATCGAATCCATTTGTTAGTAGATTTATTTAACAAGATTTATGAAAACAGTATAATTCCTGAAGAATGGCTAAGTTCAACCTTTGTCCCTCTTCCCAAAAAGGAACATGCTAAGCAGTCCAGTGATCATCGCACGATCAGTCTGATGAGTCATACCTTAAAAATATTGCTCAAAATAATTCACAATAGAATTTACAGAAAATTGGAAGAAGATATCGGAGAACTCAGTTTGGATTCCGGGGAAGGATATGGAACTCGCGAAGCATTATTTGCCTTTAACATTTTAACACAGAGGTGTTTGGATGTGAATCAAGATGTATTTGCTTGTTTCATTGATTACAACAAGGCGTTTGATAACGTCAAGCATGACCAACTGTTAGAGATCTTGAAAGCTAAACAGTTAGACACTCGCGATATAAGAATAATATCTACTCTTTATTATAATCAGAAGGCTTTCGCATGCATTGAAATGAAAGCACAACAAATTAAATTCAAATTAAAAAAGGAGTTAGACAAGGATGTGTGCTGTCATCAATGCTATTTAATCTCTATTCGGAAGAAATTATGAAGAAAGCATTGAAGGAAGAAGAGATTGGGATAAAAGTTAACGGCCAACCAATTAATAATATTAGATACTCAGATGATACGGTTTTAATGGAGGAGACAGTAGAAGACCTACAAGCCATTTTAAACAAGGTAGTTACAGCTAGTGAAGAGACAGGGTTAACAATGAATGTCAAGAAGACGAAATTCATGATTATTTCAAAAAAAACAAAGATTAAATGCAAACCTGTACATTCACAATAACGAAATCGAACGGGTGCACAAATATAAATATTTGGGAGCAAGTGTTAATAATAACAATGACATCACAGAAAAATAAAAACTAGAATTGGAAAGGCTCGAGCTGCTTTTGTTAATATGAAGGACATTCTGGGAAGTCATGACATTAAACTAAACCTGAAAATGAGATTGGTTAGATGCTACATCTTTTTGATAGTTACTGTACGGAGTAGAGACTTGGACTTAAACAAGAGCAATATCGATAAACTAGAGGCCTTCGAAATGTGGATATATAGAAGAATTTTGAAAATACCTTGGACAGACAAAATAACAAATAGTGTAGTTCTTCGAAGAATGAACAAAGAACGGGAGCTGTTGATCACCATCAAGAGAAGAAAGTTGGAATATCTTGGTCATGTGATGGGAGGGAAAAGTACCGATTGCTATCTACAATCTATCTGCTAACTACACCGATGAAATCCCCATACAACGAGGAGTCAGACAGGATTGCATTTTGTCGCCAAAATTGTTTAATGTTTACTTGGACCAGTTATTTAAAAAGGCACTTGAGAGATAACCATATGGAATAAAAATCAACGGGGCACTACTTAATGTGATTAGATATGCAGATGATACAGTAATTACATCAAATAATATTGAAGGTCTTCAAATTCTGCTTGATCGTATTCACAAGGTAGGAGAGGAAATGGGCAGTAAAATAAAACTCAAACAAAACCTAATTTTTAGTGTTTAGTCGTGACCCACATCCGATGCAAAGCTTCAATTAAACGGAGTCCAAGTTAAGAAAGTTCACAAAATGACATATTTGGGAACTGTGATAACGGACCAACTAGATCCAGACACAGAAATAAAACGTAGAATAGCAATAACTAAATCTACTTTTACGAAAATGAAGTCATTTCTTTGCAATAACCATCTCAGTTTAGAATTAAGGCAAATAATGGTTAAGTGCTATGATTGGTCCGTACTTTTGTATAACTCAGAAGTGTGGATGCTAAAAGTATCGATCTTAAACAAAATTGAAGCATTGGAAATGTGGGTTTATAGAGAAATGCTGAAGATACCTTGGAAATCAAGAAAAACTAATTATGAAGTACTAAGGAGCGTCAACAAAGATAGAGAACTGCTAAAGACTGTTATACATCGAAAAACGTCTTTTCTGGGGTATATAGTAAGGGGCAGTCGATATAAAATATTACAACTGATCCTTAAAGGAAAAATAGAGGGCCGTAGAGGTGTAGGAAGAAAACAAGTTTCCTGGTTAAAAATCATTCGTGAATGGACTCAGGTACCAAATGCAGGACAATTATTCTATATTGCAAAAGATCGAGAAGCCTTCGTAATGGTTATCGGCAACGTCGTATAATTCTGATATGGCACGCGAAGAAGAAGAATTGAGACCATAAACGATATTGTCAATAATAACATCAGGAATCAGTTTAAACAAGACACTCATGAATTAGTTAAAGCGAAAGAACCTAAAGCTTTATAAACCTAAAAGATACAAGGAAGTAATTTTTGTTATGTAGGTAATTATTTAAAATAGTATTAAAATTTTTTACTAAATCGTATAATTGACACTTACTCAGTAATTACGACAGGTTTGGGTTTAGGACAGCAGCCTGCTTCGCTGTATTGAATACAATAAATGCCAATCCCTATAAAGATAACCAAATTAAGCTTCATCCTGTTAGTTATTGAAACACAAGTGCTTCTTTTTATGTATTGGTCTTTTTTTATACATCATCATTCCAACTTTATTGTTAATTAAGATATAAAACAATGGCTAATATTTTGTGTTTTAATTTAAATGGGATGATTATTGCAATCGAATATGCCACAACTTAATTGTGTGAAGGCAATAAAGTTAATTAATATCAATTATTAATATCCTAAAATCTGTAAAATTTATAAAATCTAATTAAGGCGTTCAATTTTTTTTCTTCACTTTTAACGATCTATACAAATAATTTTATGTCATTGAAAAGATGAACCTACTACTTTTCCTTGGGGTTTAAAAACAAATTGTTACTTTTCAATATGGTAAACTTAAGTAAATAATTTTTATTAATTTTTCAATTCTTTTTTTTATTAAAAAAGATGTCACACCCACCAAAAGGTTATTAACGACGGAACAAAATATAAATAACACAGTTAAACAGCTGCAGATTGTACTAAATGTTTATGGATCTGAGATAATTCACTATATTGTCACAGGAACCGTTTTGACCTAGAGCCTGTAATAGAGCGTTTGGGATCTTGTAGCGCTGTCTTTCTTGGTCATATTTACTACAAATTTTATTTACACCACACTTTATTTTTAAAATAAGCTTTTAAGTCACTGGAAACACACTTGTCTATCCGACAAATCACTTAAAATTGCCTTTCGTGCAGTCCTGTCAGCGTCTTCATTTCCCATAAAAATTCCATGTTCATCAGCTTACGAAAGCTGGTATATTAGCAACTTTTCAAAATGATCTTTCGGAAAAATGTGTTTTAATGAGTTTAGAGAGCTAAAGGAATCTGTTATAATCAAGGCTTTTGTGAGTGTAAGCTCGTCAAGAAGTTTCAAAGTTCATCAGAACTTACTTGTTTGTCACAAGGAAGGTAAACATTGCAAATAGATACCAACTGGGTAGATATGATTCTGATAGAAACGGCCTCCAAATCACTGACTATTGGAATTTGTATCGCCTCGATGGATTTGTTTACTAGTATTGCTACACCACCGCTGGCACAACTTGCATCTACAAAAAAGCGAAATTGTTTGAATTGTACTACTTATTGGTCTTTAAGTTTGTCTCATTTAGACAAATAATATCTGGAGAATATTCAGATAAAAGAAGCTGTAGCATAGGGAGATGATGGAAAAATCCATCAATGTTCCATTGAAGTATCGAGTTAAATGTTGTTTCCGAACAGATTGATACTGAACAATTGTCTACAGCTGACCGCTATTGTCTGACCGCTACAGGTATCAGACAACAAACTTATTTCAGTAGTATTTTGTGGCAGAGATTTTATGAACTTAAGCAAGCATGTACCTATTTCTGAACTGCCCCTTTGACCATTAATTTCAGTCCATGCGTAGCAGTGGGCTTTTTGACTAGCTGCTTCATAAATTGTGAGATTGTACGCACACAGCTTTCTACTGTAATACATTGGTGAGACATCTGAAGAAGGTATTTGCAGAACGCTTTGTAAAACAAACGTGATACTTAGAAAACTAATATCAGTCATTGCGCGCTCTTTGTCTGATTTTTTTGATAAATTGGCTTCGTCTCGTCCTTTAATGTGATATCTTTCTTCTAAATCTGCATCTTTTGTCTTTAACTAGTTCGTGCATGTTAGGCACTGATCCTTTGTGGGCTTAAAAAATGACAAAATTAAAGTTGGTAAGTGCAAAGAAAGAGATTCTTACAAACTCGAATTTTTTTAACCTGGATTAGAAAATAATAGCACCTACTTGTAGTTTTGATAGCACCTGTTTCAGAACGAACTCTTCTACAAGTAGCTTCTTTTGCTGGCAACACAACTGAGAATATAATCCTTTTGGCGATTGTAGTCTAATTTCCAAAATTCCGAGCACATCTGGTTTCTGAAATCATTATTAAAACTAAGGAAGCATTTGAATTTACAATAGTTGCAATTAATCAATTTTCGTTTTTTTCCTGCAACTGTCTTCGAATTTGTAAGGCAAACTTGACATTCTAGTTTTCTTCTTATTATTTCTTTTCCATTGGGAAGGATTAGCTCTTCTCCAACGACACTCTTATTTAAAAAAGGGTAGATCACTATCAGTTCATTCAACATTTGATAAACCTTCATCACCACTCAGAAGATCGTTATTACTACTGCCGGTAGAAAAATCTGAAACCACATATCAACGACGTTTTCCCCAAAACGTAAGTAACAAGTATATTATTACGCCATCTCAATAGAGTTGTTATATTCTTCACAATGTTTGGTACTCTCTTTTCCATTATCAGCGGTGGTATTTGAACATCCTTGCATGTAGAGTAGCATTGTAGTAGCTTTGGCATAGCCCAATTGACCAAACTATTTTGTAATTTGTATTCACAGAACAACAATCAGAGTTCGAGTTAGTACTAAATGTAAGTTAAAAGTAAATTAAAGAATTGACTTTGCTTTTACTGTTCTTTTTTTTGTTTGTGATTTTTTTTATTTTTTATTTTTTTTTATTATTTTTTCTTTTATTTTATTTTTATTTTGTTTTTGTCTTTTTTATATATTAATTTTGTTTTGCATATTTTTTTTTATTTATTTTTTTGTTTTTTTTTTTCATTTTTTACAAGTTTTATCTTAATTCTTTGGTTAGTATATTATATTGTTTAAAGTTTATATTTACAAATTTCTTATTAATGATAAATATAATTAAAGATTTCTAAGTTTTCAGAGAAAATTAATTCATTTAATGTGAAATGGGAAACAGACATTTAGTTTTCGTAAGTTTTCCATAAAAAACATGTAATATTTCCTTGTTGGTTTACACATTCTAATAGAATATGTGTTAAATCTCCATATTTACCACAAGTACAGTTTAGAGTGTCTGCTAGATCCATTTTGTACATTCTTGAAGGTGTTAGAGCATGACTTGACCTTATCCTATTGATTGATTTAATAAAACTTTCTGTTGGACTCTGAATAAAATCACCTTTTTTTTAAGAAGTGTGGGTTGCCAATATTTAAATGATACTGCCTTTCGAATTCCGTATAATTGGCTTACCATTTTAATTTGAGCCGATGGTTACTATATATATATATATATATATATATATTTATATATATATAATATATATATATATATATATATATATATCTATTGACACCGGTATAAAATTCTGTTGTCTGTTGTTTCTCCATTTATTATTTACCATACATAGGTAAATAATATAACATATGATACTCTGTCAAAACAGCAATTAAAACCGAGAGTATCTTCACTTTTACTGGCATTAAAACATTACCAAAAAATAACGATTAATATGATTTTTGCGATTCAAATCGATACGCCTTGTTCGACCAATCTGCTTAACTGACTACCGCGTTCATTCTCTCAATTCGAACGTCTAATCACCCCTTTTCCACCCGTCATCTACAAACTTCGAAGAGTGTTCACACAACCTTAAAATACCCATATCCTTGTTGCGTGGTAAAAAATGAATCCCTGACTTGCGATATTCTTTCTAAGAACTGCTTTTCAAACGGAACATTAGGAGACTTAAATGTACACAAATTCGCTCTTTATTTTTGAAGGTTATTACGTATTTAAAAATCTCGACTTTCATACCAGACATATTTATTGGTATACCAGGGGCGTACTACAACAATTTAAAAACCGAATTTATATTACTACATAGGACATTAAATATAAAACGTCTACAAAGCAACTTATAGAAAAACACATTACTATTGACAATTGGATTAAATATGGTCAAATACGAAAAAAATATAAGCAAGCAATACAAGCTGAAAAACGTACTGCTTATGCTAACATACTTAACAAATCCATTAACAAAAGTAAGACAATATGGAGTATTGTTATAAAAGAAACCTATAAGGAACATACTACGTCTAATCTGAACTTAACACCGGAAGAAACCTATAAGGATCATATTACGTCTAATCTGAACTTAACACCAGAAGAAATTAACCAATACTTTACGAATATAGCAGATATTATATCGAAATCAATAGGAGACTCTGAGCATGACATAAAGTACTATCTTAGCAGGCTACCTAGAAGGTCAAGCTCGTTCTTTATGTCTCCAATAGTAGCATCTGATGTGAAAGAATACATATACAAATTAAAAAATTTCTCATGTGTTGACTACTATGGTTTTAACAGTAAAATTATTAAGGAATCGCTTGATACAATTGTTGAATCACTCACAATAATATTTAACAAACGAGGGTTACTGGCCTGATGTATAAAAAATATCAAAAGTTATTCCACTTCATAAAAAAGGAAATAAAAATGCTCCAGACCTATTAGCATAGTACCAACAATAAGTAAAATTTTTGAAACTACAGGTAAACCTACTAATGGCTTAATGTGTGACCTTACAAAAGCTTTTGATTGTGTGGATATTCAAACAATATTGATAAAATTGGAGTAGTATGGAATAAGGGGTACCATACATAACCTTTTAAAATCCTATCTTACAGGAAGAACACAGATTGTTGCATTTAATAATCAAGAATCTGATCCTTTACCAGTTTCAACCGGAGTACCACAAGGATCAGTTTTGGGACCTCTGTTATTCGCGATATATACAAATGATTAACCAAGTGCATTAGGTAACACCAACTGTGTTCTTTTTGCAGATGACACAATCTTATTATGTAGAGGTAAAACTGACGACAGGTAGGAAATATAAGAAAAATCTAAATCCTGGTTTAACTGTAACAAACTTAAGTTAAACGAGCAGAAGAACCAGACAATAGTATTTAGTTCTTATAGATGGGTTACATCATCTGAACCAGTAAAGTTACTAGGTGTTACTATGGATACAAGGTTGAACTGGTCGCACCATATTGAACGATTATGTAAGCGGCTCGTCTCACAGATTTTTGCTATGCGCAGATTGGCTACTTCTGTGAGTCTTAGGTCAGTTTATTTTGGAATGGTTCATAGTATCCTGACATATTGCATACGTCATTGGGAAAAC